CAGATGAGGCTTCATTTGTTTGTGCTGCAAGAATTTAATGTTTTTTTGGCTTTGAACTGCAAGAACAGCGACATCTGGTGGTGTTGAACATGTAGAGCTTAACGACACGACTAATACCAATACTCCTGCTGCTGTTACTACTGCTGCTACTACTACTACTACTAATACTCCTGCTGCTGTTACTACTGCTGCTACTAATATTACTACTATTGCTGCTGCCACAACTGTTATTAGTGCTACTACTAATACTGCTACTACTGCTGTTACTAATACTACTACTACTGCTGCTATTACTGCTGTTACTACTACTAGTAATAATATGACTACTACTGCTGCTGCTACTACTATATTACGACTACTATTACTAATACTCCTATAGTACGACTGCTATTAGTACTACTACTAATACTACTATACCACTTCTACAGCTATTATTACTGTTACTAATACAACTAGTGCTGTTACTAATACTGCTACTGCTGCTATAAGTACTACTACTATGCTACTACTACTACTGCTATTAGTACTACTACTAATACTGCTATTACTACGACTACTACCACTACTAATAATAATAATACTACTACTGCTGTTACTCATACTACTATACTACTACTATTATACTACTACTAATACTACTAATTCTGCTATTACTATTATTAGTGTTACTAATGCTACAACTGCTGTTACTAATACTACTACTGCTATAAGTACTACTACTAATACTGCTATTGCTACGACTACTACCACGACTACTCCCAATAATGCTACTACTGCTGTTACTCATACTACTATACCACTGCTACAGCTATTATTACTTTACTAATGCTACTACTGCTGTTACTAATACTACTACTACTGCTATAAGCACTACTACTATGCTAATACTACTAGTGCTGTTAGTACTGCTACTAATACTGCTATTACTACCACTACTACTACTAATAATACTGCTACTGCTGTTACTAATACTACTTTAGTAATGCATTGAAATATTTTTAAATGTGATTAAGTGTTGCTTATATTAGTATTATTTTGTTGTTGTTGTTTAGAGAACGCAAAGAAAACCAAAATAAACCTTATTAGGGTTTAAAACGACGCAGCCTGAGCTGTTTGCATGAACCACTTTTTTGTTGTTGTTGTTGTTGTTAATCAGGAGGACTATCGGCGCACGGTAACCGAGATCGACGAGAAGGAATACATCAGTCTGAAGATCATCGTATCGGAGCTCAGAAATCAATACGTNAGCTACACCGCCCGTTTTATTTACGTCCACAGCTGCTTTTATCTGGGTCAGACATTCACAAAGAGCTCTTTTCTCCTAAAAAAAAAAAAAAAAAAGCCGAGCTGATCAATGTAGAACCAATGCTGTCCTTTTTTTTTTTTTTAAACTAGTTAAAATGGCTTTAAAGGACCATTTCAACTCATGTAGTGCAGTTTCCCACCTGCCAAGAAGTGACCCCAGCCCAAATATGGTAACTGAAGAGTTTTTAATGATTCAGAATTACTTGATTTCATTCATTGGGGCTGTATTTTAAAGATTATATCCCATAGGACAGTTGCAAGAGATCTCAACAAGGGTATTAGACCTAAACACTGGAAACACTAGTGCAGCCCTACCTGTTGTCAGCTTAAAATTTAAAATTAACTTTAATATAAAGAGATCCCACTGAATCCTTGGGTTTGTTCAGTTTTCATGTAAATGTCTGTAGTGTCATAGCTCTATTCTTAAATTAGTCACGTGTATCTCCATAATTCATCCAGTATTTAAGTGCGTTTGACTAACTCCGTAATTATTAAGACTGTAATAGTGGTCTGATATGCCCAATGATAGCCTTAATATTCATTCTACTCAGTTAAAGTTGCATTCAGCATAATCTTTGTTGGGTTTTAAATTACTCAGTTAAACTCGCACCACAAATAACCTCAATATTTATACTTGTTGGGTTCATTTGTAATGCAAATGTTATTTTTCTACTTGACCCAGCAGCTTTAAATGTGATACTTCAATAAAACTGAGTTGACTAAATGTCAGGCCTGATTGCGTCATACATTGTTTTGGGGGGTCGCAGTTATTCGGTTACAACAAAAACACGCTTCTGCTATCGCCACAGACATACAGTTGTGTGTATCTGCACGTTACGACTGTGTGACTCAGATAAAAAGCAGCTGCAGTCGCGTGTAAACCGGGCAGGTCGCCTGTCAACAGCCCATACATCGGGACTGTAGCATTATTACTGCATCACAATGACTCGACTTCAGTCATGAGGGTTTGATTTTAAAGATTGGGGCCCACAGGGTAATTGGAAAAGAGACGTTTATAACACATTTATAAGTCGATTACAGTCCAAATATAAACAAGGATATTAGACATACTAATCACATGCAGGATAATAATTGGAAATAATGCTACAGTTTTGTCTATAGGCTGGATTTTGGTCACAAGAAGATTTGCGAAGACATACTTCTGCTGTCACCGCAGACACAAACTTGAGTGTGTTTGCACATGTAGTGAATGTTTGATCCAGATAAAAGCAGCTGCAGATAAAGTGGCAGATGTTCACCGCATACTCCCACCAACTCAGACTACGTTCTGATACGACACCGGCATCATGTTACAGTTTTTAAATCTTAAACTGACTTCTGAGCCATGTTTACAAAATCCGTAGCGATAATTTAGACCCACAATAAACTATGGCGAGAAAAAAAAAGTGGTTTTGCATCTTCGGACTCTTGTCTCATGTTTGTTTGTGTTTGCAGGTTGATGCTTTCAGGGAACGTATCACCGCAGAAGTAAGTGTTGCTTATCCTGTTATTTAAAAATAAAAAAGAAAAGAAAAAGAAAAGGGTTTGTGAGCACATTTTTACACACAGCTGTTAAAGTTTGTATAAAAAATGTCCGTTTCATTTCCAGGCAGAAGATCTAGTCGCAAATTTTTTCCCAAAGAAGTTACTGGAACTTGATCACTTTCTGAAGGTGAGTTGCTTGTTTCTGTAAACTAACCGCATGTTGCAGATCCTTAAATTTGCACATAAGTAGTTGAGACTGGAAGTTAATTTTGCCTTTTGCAAATACATTTAAACTGGGTCTCGGTAGATCTTGGTAGCTACCAAAAGCTCCAGAGCAGCCGCAGATGACTGATAAAATACAGACGTGACTTGATAATCCGACCCTTAACAATCCTAAACCTTGCTATCCGACAGGTTTTTAGAAAAAAAGGAACGGAACCCATTAAAAACAGCCTGAACATACCGACAGCCCGACATGACATTTTACAAATCATGACATGTCACAAATCAGGATAACGGCGTATTATCTGACTGAACAATCCCACAGATTGGCTACGTTCACACTGCAGGACTTGATGCTCAATGAAGATTTCTTTGTGAAATATGTGAATTAAATGCGACTTGTATGTGATCTGCTGTGTGAACTTCATACGACCCAAAAGTGTCCCGCATGCGCAGAAGAGGACACGACGACGTCACACGCAGCGAGCGTGCTCAGTGTTTATGGAGATAAACATGGATGGTAACGGTGGAGCGTATCTGCCACTCCCCCGCCGCCACCGATGGAGGAAACAGAAGTGTGAGCGCTAACTAAACTAGCATCAGCAGCCAAGTACTGCCTGTGTGTTCTGGACACTTTCACCCCCGGGGGAGCGCTCTGTGGCCAGAACGTGCACAGTTGCTATCCGACATCAAAGAAGGTTTTACATTTAGTGTCGGATTATCAAGTCACGACTGTAATTGGATGTTTCTGGTTTCTAAGAAGGTCCATGCAGACGTACTACATACTACCACCGCATAATGAGTTGACAGATTTGTGTTGCCTCTTTGTTTCTCAGGATCCAAGTATAAACATCACCGAACTGAAGGAGATCCACTCAGAGATAAATCTGACGGTGCCGGACCCCATCTTGCTCTCAAACCTCCACGACGGACTAGAAGCGGTGAGGCTCAATTTTTAAAGTTGCCGAGTATAAAAAAGATGAAACGAGTGGAGGTGAGAAATGTTGCTTAAATTCTGCTGCTTGTGTTTCACAGCAAAATGCCAAAAAGAGGAAGCTGGAGGATGGAAGTGGGGAGGACATGGGTGAGTCCCGCAACTTTTAATCTGCTTTTCAGGTCTGACAGGTGTGTCGGAGACTTGATTATTCGCTCTTATTCCTGTGCAGTGACTGGCACCAAGGTCTTCGTCATGCCCGGTGGGATGATGAAGAGCAACGGAAACCTTGTTGAGCTCATTGAAAAGGTCAAGCCAGAGATCAGGACGCTCATAGAGAAATGTAACACAGTGAGTAAAACCTCTGGAAGTTTTCATTAGTCGTGTTTATTATATTGTTATTAGAATTTGGCATTAGAGCTGAAAGTGTATGACATAAATGTAGAAATAATCCTGAATTATTGATGCAACCAGAAAAAACAAGACACACGTTCATCGTTTTCTAGCTTCAGGACACAAAGCTCCAGTGTAGGATGTACCGCACTCGTCTGACAGCGTCCCAGATGTTGGTTTCTCCTCATTCTTACCGTTTTTTTTCTTTCCCCTCCGCAGGTTAAAATGTGGGTTCAGCTGCTCATCCCCAGGATAGAGGACGGCAACAACTTCGGGGTGTCGATCCAGGAGGAGACGGTGGCCGAGCTCAGAACAGTGGAAGGGGAGGCGGCGTCTTACCTCGATCAGATATCAAGGTTCGCCCGAGTTTGAACTGTTTTCTACATAAAATGTTACAAAGCATTAAATATTTATAATCATTTGAAAGATTCGGAGCTCAACTTTTGTCTGTTTCCTCACTTCTAGATACTACATCACAAGGGCAAAGCTGGTGTCGAAAATAGCAAAATATCCTCATGTGGTAAGTACAAAAGACGTGATTGTTTTCTCAATTAATCAATAGTTCTTTGGTCTATCAAGTGATTCATGATCATCATAATGTCCTACATTTTGTCCACAACACCAAAAAATTTAAAATCTACTGCGATACAAAAAGAAAGAAACCAGAAAATCTTTACATTTAAGAAGCTGCAGTCAGAGATTTTTAGTTTTTCCCCCTAAAATAGTTACTCGCACCAAATAATGGATTATAAAATACAAACATTCACTGATTGTCTGTTTTCAATATGAGAAGTAATGACAGATGAGGCTTCATTTGTTTGTGCTGCAAGAATTTAATGTTTTTTTGGCTTTGAACTGCAAGAACAGCGACATCTGGTGGTGTTGAACATGTAGAGCTTAACGACACGACTAATACCAATACTCCTGCTGCTGTTACTACTGCTGCTACTACTACTACTACTAATACTCCTGCTGCTGTTACTACTGCTGCTACTAATATTACTACTATTGCTGCTGCCACAACTGTTATTAGTGCTACTACTAATACTGCTACTACTGCTGTTACTAATACTACTACTACTGCTGCTATTACTGCTGTTACTACTACTAGTAATAATATGACTACTACTGCTGCTGCTACTACTATATTACGACTACTATTACTAATACTCCTATAGTACGACTGCTATTAGTACTACTACTAATACTACTATACCACTTCTACAGCTATTATTACTGTTACTAATACAACTAGTGCTGTTACTAATACTGCTACTGCTGCTATAAGTACTACTACTATGCTACTACTACTACTGCTATTAGTACTACTACTAATACTGCTATTACTACGACTACTACCACTACTAATAATAATAATACTACTACTGCTGTTACTCATACTACTATACTACTACTATTATACTACTACTAATACTACTAATTCTGCTATTACTATTATTAGTGTTACTAATGCTACAACTGCTGTTACTAATACTACTACTGCTATAAGTACTACTACTAATACTGCTATTGCTACGACTACTACCACGACTACTCCCAATAATGCTACTACTGCTGTTACTCATACTACTATACCACTGCTACAGCTATTATTACTTTACTAATGCTACTACTGCTGTTACTAATACTACTACTACTGCTATAAGCACTACTACTATGCTAATACTACTAGTGCTGTTAGTACTGCTACTAATACTGCTATTACTACCACTACTACTACTAATAATACTGCTACTGCTGTTACTAATACTACTTTAGTAATGCATTGAAATATTTTTAAATGTGATTAAGTGTTGCTTATATTAGTATTATTTTGTTGTTGTTGTTTAGAGAACGCAAAGAAAACCAAAATAAACCTTATTAGGGTTTAAAACGACGCAGCCTGAGCTGTTTGCATGAACCACTTTTTTGTTGTTGTTGTTGTTGTTAATCAGGAGGACTATCGGCGCACGGTAACCGAGATCGACGAGAAGGAATACATCAGTCTGAAGATCATCGTATCGGAGCTCAGAAATCAATACGTACGTCCACTTTCATCGCTTCTTTTCAAATCAGCGTTTGTTTGTTTTGAACCTTGCTGACGTGTCTGTTTGGCCTCCAGGTAACGTTACACGACATGATCCTGAAGAACATCGAGAAGATCAAGAGGCCTCGGAGCAGTAACACCGACGCCTTGTACTGATGCTCACCCGGCAGATCCAGCCTCCCCCCCGTCGCCTCCCCCCGTCGCCTCCCGAGCTGCAGCCGCCTCGATCGCAGGACTCCGACTAGACATTCACCTCCTCCAGTACAATCAGCCCAGTACGAGAACATAGCTTCCATAGATGGACACATGCACATCGTTTCTTTCTTCTTTTTTGTTTTTGTTTGTTTGTTTTAATTGTAAAGTATATTTTTCTTGTTTTAAACCCTTTGAAGAATATTCTGTCACCAAAAAAAAAATTTAAAAAAAGGGGAGATAGATCATAGACAACAGGAAAAAAAAGAGAAAAAAAGCGCTATGTATTTTTTAATTTTAATTAAACATCTTGTCCTCCAGATCTTTTGTGAAATCGCTTCATTCTTAGCTCATATAGGGAGCGGCGGCGTCTGTTGGATGTTTGATGGTTTTTTGTTGGTTTTTTTGGGAGGATTCGCAAAAAAACGCCGCTGCTCTTCGTCCGAATGTCGTAGCGAATAAACGAAGACTGAGCAGGTTTTAGGTCGGCGTTAGGGCTTCGTGGTTTTCAGTGAAAATGCATCAAGTCTCCAAAGCATCTCTCATGTCGGGCATTGACTCTCCTCAATAAAGTTGTTGTTTCTTTTTTAATAAGAGATTTTGATTATTTTGGAAGGTTCGGGGCGTGTTGGTGTCGACATTGTGAGTTTGCTCTGCTGGTTGTGTGTCCTGTTGGCCTGCAGGTGGCAGCGTTGTGTCCACTTTTGTACATTCAGGAGTCGTAAACTGAAAAAAAAAACTCCCAACGCTGATGTTTTTGCCAAAGTGAGGACGTGTTTGTGTTGAAATGTAAGATTCTTATTGCGTTTATTCTGAACTGAATGTCCAAAAAAGGTGAGAAAATCTTACATAAATAAATAAATAGTGACAGATTGACATTAAATCTTATCAGAGTTAAACAGAGCAAAAATGCTGATACTATTCTACTACTACTATTACTACTACTGTCACTTTTACTGCTATTACTGCTACAACTGCTAATACTAGTACTGCTATCACTAATACTTCGACCACTGCTGCTATTACCACTACTGATACTACTACTGCTATTACTACTACTACTATTACTACTAATATTACTGTACTACCAGTGCTAATACTACTATACGACTACTACTACCACTATTGCTACTATACTCCCACTGCTATTACTAATACTACGATTACTACTACTAATACTGCTATACTCCTACCATTACTAATATTACCACTACTGCTGCTATCACTGTTACTACTAACCTACTATTATTACTACTGCTAAACTACTACTACTATTACTACTATACTACTACGACTATTAATATACTACTACTGCTGCTGCAACTGCAAATACTACTATTACTACTAATATTACTATACTACTAGCACTAATACTACTATACTACTACTACTATCACTATTGCTACTATACTACCACTGCTATTACTAATACTACGATTACTACTAATGTTACTATGCTACTAGTACTACTATACTACTACCACTATTGCTACTATACTACCACTGCTATTACTAATACTACGATTACTACTACTAATACTGCTATACTCCTACCATTACTAATATTACCACTACTCCTGCTATCACTGTTACTACTAACCTACTATTATTACTACTGCTAAACTACTACTATTAATATACTGCTGCTGCGACTGCTAGTACTAATACTACTATTACTATTACACTACTGCTGCTACTACTGCCATTCGTGCTGTTGCTACTACTACTACTACTATGCTGCTAATACTGCAATTACTACTACTATGCTAACACTACTTCTGCTATTAGTACTACTGCTGCTAGAAAACTGAGGTAACGTTAGAAAAACACTGAAATATTTAAAGTTGGATCATTAGTGAGAAATTTTAGCCTTAATTATTTATTTATCTGCTTTTTTAAAAAATATATTATTTTTAAAGTCAGGTGTAAACTATTGTGTTAACATTATTTTATTGTTGTTTAGAGTGCAAGAAAGCTGAGATGAAATTATGAATAGATTAAGACTGTCAGATTTTTTTAATGAATGAATGAAGGAATGATCGAATGCATGAACAACACAGGGCAGGTTTACGTAGCGCTTTGTCTTTATTCTCACACGACTAATATTACTTTACTAATAATAATAATAATAATACAAATTAACTGTAGCTTTTTAATTGGGACATTCTTTTAAATTTACTGAAAAAGCTTTTGTAGCTGAAAACCAGGTGGAGGAAGAGGACGAATCGATGGTTCACATGTGCACGATGCACTTTGTTTGTCGTCTGTGCGGCTGCCTTTCCACTCATCAATATTGTTTCAAGCGCCGATAAGAAGCTTTAACATTCAGCTCTGCAGCTGCAAAACAACTTTGCATGATGACTTTTTTCTCCTCCACACTTCTCTAGTTGTTGTTGTTGTTGTTGTTGTTGTTGTTTGTCGTCCTGCAGCAGCGATGGGATTGGAACCAGCCTGAGCTGCCTGGAAACTGATGTCAACAGTTGCTCAACATCACTGACGCAGTTGTGATGTGTGTCCCTGACGGCCTCCGACCTTCCGGCCAGGCAGAGCAGCTCCAGATACGGAAATGACCGGAGCAGATAAAAAGACGATGAGGTGGTCAGGAGGCAGACGTGGGATCTGCTGGTGGGAAACGTCACTCGGACAAACTGTGTCGTCACAGTTTAACGGATAGTTCATCTGGAACATGGCGCCGTGCACACGTTTATAGGCCACATATACTTCAGTGGTCATTGAGCTGGTGACCCATGTACAGGGACAACAGTCCCCGATGCAGCAGCCGTGGGTTCGAGTCCGACTCATGGCCCTTTGCTGCAGGTCCTTCCCCCGTTCTTCTCTCTCTCGGCTGTCCTATGTAATGAAGGCCAAAAAAATAACTTAAAATAAAAATTTTGACCAAAATGAACCATTTGTAACAACCAGATTCTGCAAAAAAATGAAAATAATTTTTAAAAATTCTGGGCTCTTGAGCAAAACAGTGAAGCCACAAGTGACATGTAGATGTGACAAACAGTAAAACAGTAACATGAGTTTTGATAGATTTAGACTCAAACTGGCCCCAGGATGTGTAACAGCAGCATCATAATGCACATTTTAAAGCATGTCAGCTTCTTTTTTTTTTAAAAATCACCAAAATTACACCTTTTATTAGGGATACACGATATATCAGTGACCACATATGAGTGTTTTTTCCGATATCGGTCAGATGAACAAATGTAGCCGATGATTGTCTGACGTTAGCGCCTTCATCTCTACGTTTGAAATGAGTTATCTCTCCTTCCAGTCATGGTTGTTGTGTTTCCATAGAAGCAGGACTTTATATCGCAGTGAAAATGTGACGGGAGCAAAGGAAAAACTTAACTGAAACTTAGCTTTCAACAAATTCCACGATGGCTCGATGTCACGGATGGAAACGTAAAACAAGACAAACAGGAAATGTACTGAAATTGTTTGTTTTTTCATGTTTGGCAATATAAAAATGAAAAAATAAAGTTTGTGTTTTAGTATGTTTATCTTGTTTCTTATTTCTCTTTACCTCCAGGACTTCATGTGACCTGCAGCTGCACACTACGGAGAAGTTTCATAATCGAATGAGCAGAAAAACGGAGGTGTGTCTGTTTTACGACGGTAATCCTGCTGACACATATCTGACCTGTCGCCTGAACAATGTACTGCTATTAAAGCCTGGTGGGACACGCGTGTTGTCTGCAACACTTTCTGATCCTTGACCCCGCGAGTCTCTCGTGGAACCGGTGGCGGGCGGCCGTCAGTGTGCGGGGCTGCCGAGTGAAGGCAGCATGCTCTGGTTAATGTTTAGAGGTTGTTCCTGCCAAAGAATGAATCGGTATCAGTCAGAAAACAACACGCCGGGACAGAACATGCTCTGAACATGAGCTCAACTCTTCACAGGAAGATCATAAAAGGTCCCTTTAATGATGCACTATAAGGATAAAAATCTTTTTCTTTTGCAAGAATATACTTCTGTTGATGAACCCTCATTGACCCACGGCTGTAAAACTGTAACATCCATTTAAATCTATAGCCAGCTGAATGTAGACGAACTCCAGTCTGTAAAAATAAAATTCATTAAGAGTCATTTAAAAGAAACGCTGCCAGAAAAGTAGACTTTAAAAAAAATACAGAAATATTGCAATGTTCAAAAACTGTGAAAATAACAGCAAATATCTGTAAAATATTTTTTATTTTAGCCAATTTAAAAACAAGTTTTGGTCACACATTACACAAGAATAAATTACAGTCTGTAAAAATACAAAATTTCCACATGGATGCAATATACAATGAATTTTCAGTTATAATCTTAACTTGTCAAACTGCTTTTATATAAGATTTATAACATTTTGTCATTTTTTAGAATATTTTTTCATATATTTCTATATTATTGAGTCTTTACTGTCTAATGGTGAAAAAAATGAGAACTAACTTTTTGTTTTTTCAATTATATTTTCATATATTTTCCACTTTACATATTACAAATGTTACATATATTTATGTATATCTAACAGTCCATTAACGTATGAATGTTGTTACAATTAAAGCGGTACGACGCTTTACAAAGCCACTCAAAAAAAAAAAGATAAACAAAAACAAACTAAATTTCATAAACCAAGGGTAAAAAAAAAATGTCCAAGGAGCTTGCAATGGAATATATTGATTAGTGAAGATTTCAAACTGACTAAATGTAATTCGATGGTGGCATTCGGACCGTAGCTCAGACCTTTACAGTAAACATGAATTTTCAGCTGTATTTTTTGTACAGAAACAGAGATTAGCTCTAATTTTATGCCACTTTCATGTCTGTACGGTAATTTAAGCCAGGAGACAGTTAGCTTAGCTTGACTTAGCCTGGCATAACACATGGTAAAATAGGGGAAAGCCAACGATATCCCCACCGCCAGCGCTTCTGACGTTTAACTTCTTTTTGTACAAAAACCAAAAAAGATTATTTGTGGTTTTGTCAGAACACTGCCACGACTTTCTTATGTTTTAAAATAATCCTGCACATAGTTACCATTTAAAATACTAAATGTTTATTCCTTATTGTAGAAATGACTAAAGTATGCTAACCAGTTGCTAACAGTACTTCCATATTCAGACTTTACAGTGATATCAACCTTTTTAACCAACTTCTCAGCAGCGAGGTCTTTTCTCGATACTACAGTACAAACTCCGTTACTGAACTGATGTCCAGACCACAATTAAAGGCCGTTTTCCACTGCAGGAACTTGTGCGCCATTGTTTAGGCAGCATGAACCTTTGTACGTGTTTGGAAAGCTAGAACTGACCCTGTAGAAGCTCTTTCAGATCTGTTTTAGAGGCATAAAATAAACATCTACACCAGCACAGGTACGTCTGAACAGTTCTCTCTTGATGTCTTTATTAAGCAGCAATTTTCTTTTCTCTAACTTTGCAATCAACAACGTAAAATTCACCATGTAGGCGAACATAACCAACTTCCACTGCTGTGTTTCCTACTTGTTCATATGCAGTCAAAACTGTGGAAGCAGAAATCCTGAAAAGGTTCGCTTGCTGGGTTGATTTACGTCACATCGCAGCTTCCTGCAGTGAAAAACCGCCTTTTTATTTCACTGATGTTGTCCTAAAACTCTAAATGTTCCAGTTTTTTTAAAAACAACAAAACACAATTCTAGTAAAGACAGAAAATTTAACTCGTAATTGACTTAAGATGACACAAATCACAAGTTCTTGTCTTCTTTCTTGTCCGTGACGATCCTGCAGAGAGCCCACGGCACCACAGTGGTCGGGATTAAAAGTGCAGCTGCACTCTTGCCGAAGGACAGAGCGTAGAAAGTCACATGGTTCTCGGAGGAAAATGTCCGTCCGTCCAGCAGCTGCAGCAGGAACAAAGACACCAAAATACATCCCATCCTGAAAGCGCTGCTTGTGTTCTTCTTGTGGGTGTAGAGCGGCGAGTGGAGGCCCAGTCCGAGGCCCAGCAGGCTGCCCATGTTCCTCAGCAAGCTGGCGAAGGGCGTCGAGTCCAGGTGGACCCACTCGGGCCGGACGCACCACTTCTGGGCCTTCTCCAGGGTCCACAGCAGGTCGACGCCCAGAGCCTTGAGCAGCAGGTAGAAGCCC